ACTCTGCTTTGGACTGACTAGTTGCTGTATGTCTATGTGACATCGAGCTAAATACTCTCACTTTAGAAAGCTAAGTACTTTCCTTGCTGGTAAATGGAGATGGTGACAGCACCATTTACAAATAGGATTATCCTGAGAGGGCAACAAGCTCAGTCTAGGAAGTGCTTAATGGAAGGTGCACAGTAAGCGCTCAGTAAAAAGCATTCTCTCTTGTGGTCATGGAGCTGATGAACTCTGCTTGTCCAACCTCAGCCAAATGCTCTTTGACACAGGTGTGAAGTCTGTGGTCAGTGCAATTATACTGATCAAACAAATGGCAGAATGTTGTGGAAGAATTTATGAGAATATTTACGTAAAGAGTTGGCATTTATGTTGATGAGGCCATAAGTAAGTGCCTCAGTTCTGTGTCCGGGGAAAAACTGTAGGCCTCTTTGACCTACATTACTTGTATCTTTTTTTTCACCCTAAGAAATGATGGTCCTCGTTTCCTAGAACTCTAATGTCTAGTACAGTGACCCTGGCTAGGAGCCACCACCTGATTTAAGGCATTGCTTGAGAATGGAATGACATTAGTTTACCCCATAAACATTTTATTTTATCCCACATGCCAGCCACTGTGCTGGAGCTGGATGTAATAGTGAGCAGAGAGACAGAAGTTTGCAGTCCAGCAGGAACACAGGAGGGCCTGCTTTAATCCTGGAGACTCTCCGCTCCCAAGGAGCCACACGACAGGTGGAGGACTCCTGAGGCGTGTGGTAATCAGCATCCCTTACTGTCTTTTTTCCCTTACCGACAAAGTAATTAGCAAGTCTCAAAGCCTATTTTTCTTGGAGGATATACAAGCCATAACCAACTATTGAATAAGCAAGGTAGAAAGGACCCCTCTTTTGATGGGGTTCCAGGACCCATGAAAACACCTCCAGCTGACAAATTTCTCTGGTCTACAAGGAGAAAGCCAAGCCTTCTTTTGATCTAATCAAATCATCTAGGATGTCTATTTTCATCTAGATGGGACAAGGAAGAAGCCCTTTGATGAGACTTATTTCCCTCCAACACACGTCCTCAGAGGGATGGTGCTGCCCTATCACTTCTGAGTCTCTGCTTCATTCCACCCGGCCTTGCTGGCCATGGAACCTGGATGGAGCCAATCACGGTAGCTTTTATCCTGAATGCAGCAGAACAGAAGCAAATCAATATGCAAAGACATGTAGAGATGAAAGTGCGATGGATAGAGAGAGGTACTGGCATACTTGGATCTCATGTGGCCCCTAAATTCCAGGCTCCTGTACCTCCTTTTGAAATTCTGTGAGTCACTGTGGGCCAAGCCACAAAACAGGCAGAATGTTCCCTTTATGCTTGTATAGTTTGAGCTGAGTTTAACTTCTCATGAGGACCATGGGGATGTGAGGGGATGATGCCACAGCCCACACAGAGGACAACGGGTGGGAAATACCCTTTCAGGTGCTCACCACTGAGAAGGGAGGCTGTTTTCAGGACACCCTGGGTCTTACTGACATTTAAACAGGCTGCACAACATCTTTCATCTGCTGTCACATGCCCTGGATGAGTTACACCATGTGGCTTACCACCGAAAGTAACACCTCCCCTCGAGTCTCAAAGACAACACAAGTCAAGCCCTTGGCACTGTGTTTTAGTGGTGGGAACCTCTCTTATTCAGATGATAAGGGGCATCCAGTTACCTGCAAAGGTCAGTCACAACCCAAGCTAGTTCTTCGAAGGACCACAGAGTGGCCCTACTAAACAGTGAATATAAAATAGATGCTAACCCCAGGGAAGTTGTGTTTTATTCCTCTTTGGATGCTCAGAGCCGAGTGCAACATCCGGTCTGTGTATATCTCTTTAATCAAGTCCCACAAGTGGAGCAGAGTCTGCCCAGGACAGCAGCTCATCTGGGGACAGAGCTGCATTGCAAGAGGCCTGTGTTACAGGAAAAGGCTTGAGACTTGGTTGCTGCCTCAAGGAGACCTACTAATGACAGAGATGAGGAAACTCCTGTGCTGGGGAATGTGGAGTAGAAGGCATTACGAGTCCCTGGATCGGGCTCTCTGCTGGAAGAGCTTGGAGGGGCAGGTCTCCCTTCAGGCTGTGTGAGTCTGAAAAGGAGATATGGGAGTGTATGTGGAATTCCAAAGAAGTGCAAACTACGATGGACGTTTGGAGCTTAGTGAGAATTTCAAGTTTGGGGGAATAAAACCATACAGGTCAAATAAGAAGTGTCTGGACAGTGCAGAGAACATAGTTAAAAGAGGAGTGGGGTGGAGCTTTGATCATTTTTTGTTTGCATTTGCAGTTGTGTCAACAAGGCTGTGTTTAATGTAGATGTTAGCCCAGTGTGGGGTGCAGGCTGAGATGTGCCTTTTGTGGAATGGAGGGATACCAACAATATGGGCCTGGGCCAACATCACGAGCAGGTTCTGAGAACTTATTAGAGAGACTAGCTCTGAATCCACACCTCCCCTCTGTGGTGTGTGGCCTAGCCTGTGTGTGGCACCAAGTCCTCCAGAATGACCACTGTGCCGGGCCTCTTACAGCCTGCAGCAAGATGGCTGAGGGGTCACCCAGGCGCAAGCTGGCGGCTGACTACAGCATCCTCAAAACCAGATTTTAGATTGCAGGCATTTTCTCATCCCACTGAGGAGATCGCACAAGTGTTTGGACAAGTCATTCATTCGTCCTTCATTCACCTCATACTTGCTGAGCACCTGCCTGCTGGGCACCCAGATCCAACAGCAAACATGCCACATCAGCTCAGGCAACTTTTAAGCAAGGGCTTGGCTACAGACAAGATTGCCGTTGTCTGTTTATCTCTTTATCAGATTTACTATGCTCTCCAGAAGTGACTCTGCTGCTTGCCTCTGACATAAGTTCTAAAGTTAAGCATTTACGGAAGTTTCAAACATTAGTGATGTGATCGATGAAGGAAAAACAGGTGTGCACACAAATAGTTCTAAAGGGCTGGCAGAAAGGGTTTTCATTAAGATCTGTGCTGTAGTGGGGTGTGTGTGTATGTGTGTACACGTACTGACGCTGAACCCAGGGGCACCCTATCACTGAACTACATCTGCAATCCCACTTTATTTTTGAGACAAGGTCTCACAGATTTCCCAGTCTGGACTTGAACTCATGTCCTCAGAAGCAGTGGGTAGAAACTAGGAAGGAGTGGGCGGAGGAGAAGTTTCTCTCTTTTTCACACCCATCATCTCTGACAAAACTAGAATGGGATTTTAGCCAGCAGCCTTTTCATGTAAATTTATTGAAACAGACCACCCTGTGCTGTTGGAAGGTCAGATGACCCAAGGACAGGCTTCAGTTCTCTTTGGACAAGGGCAGAGTTGGGAGTAAGGTTGGGAAGCAGAGAGAGCTCCTAGGGCCCCACCTCAGGCCACACAGCTCCTCTGGGTTCTGGGCAGGCTGAAGCAGGTGGGCATTGCCCTCTGCTGGGGCAGAGAGGGGAAATGTGTTAAGGCAGGGACGGTCACATCAAGTGCAGAGGACAGGATTCAGAGGAGTCCTGGACTGTCTAGTTTGAATTTCGCCTTCCTTACCTCTGAGAAGGGAGATGAGTTTCTGATCTGCACACCCCTCTGTCTCTTACTCAGGATCCCAAAAGATTCCAAATCCTCCTCTGCTTCAGTAAAACAACCATCTATTTCTATTACCAGATCTGAGCATATCATGGAAAGGAACAGAAGGGAGAAGCTGAGGACTCTCCCTGTCCAGCACTGTAATGCAGCAAACCCAATGTCCAGTCTCCTTGTCAAGTGTTTGGCTCCCAAAGAGCAGCCTTCCCTAATGATGAGGACTCCATGGCGGTGGGTCCAGGAGACCCGCACTGCAGACAGCAAGTGTCACCTTAGCAGATCAGTAGGCAGCACCTTCAACTGTACCACGAGTCTTATTTTAAACTAATTACATTACCAGGGGTGGGTGGGAGGGAGGAGAAGGGGTAATTATAATTGGGGAGATTTTTTAAAAGACCTAGTTTCAAAAATCTCAGACTTAATTTAGTAAATTTCAATTACAGAGGAAGTTTCTAAGCTGATGATCATTTGCACTGTATCCTTAATTACTACTCTATTTGTATCTGAGATCATCGATAGAGATTGTTGGGAATGTGGTACTTGGAATAAATAAGTGATTGATCTTAATGAGGTCTTTGTTCTTCCAGGAGTTTCACGAAGTGATTTATTCCCTAGTGGGGAGGCGTGAAGTTTGCCAAGCCAGGTGGAGGTATGTCAAATTAAAATTGCAACCTGTGAAGAAATCAAGAGGTTTTCAAACTGGCTGTACCTCCGTGAGGAGAGGATGCCAAACTCGGCCTCTGCGCTCTTCTGTGCTTCTCATGGTGGCCCTCAGACCTTTACAGCTGCCCCCTGACTACACTAGCTCTGTTAGACTGTTCCAGGTGAGTCCCCTCTCTGGCCTTCCATGCTGCCATAGAAGACACAGCCTTTTGGGGCCTTCTTACAAATCATCGATGCCAACATAACATTTCCTGTTTCTACTTTACCTGCCTGCTCTAAAACAAGTGCATCCAGAGTCCTGGCCACTTGTTTTTCAAAATCGGTTACTTAGAAGGCAGATAGCAGAAATGGGGAAGGGAGATGGTTCACCAAGACGGGGAGGCCCTCTGTGTGTGAGTGTGTGCCCACATCCAGACCCATTTTGTAGAAAGAGAGAGAAAGACTCCTTTGAGGATGGGGGAGTGCTGGGGACAGGGCAGTGTGGCTCTCCTACTGTGACTCCATCATATTCCTGCACCAGACCCCACCTCTGTCACCCCACAGAGCACTTTGCCTCCTACAGTGGGCCCCCTAATCTTGAGGCATACCTTCCAAGATCTGCAGAGGATGCCTAAGCACCAAACCCTAGACACTATATATTACATTTTTCCTTCTACATGTATAGCTATGATGTTTAATTTATAAGTTAGGTGCAGTAAGATATTAACAATTCATAATAAAACAATAATAACAATATAAAATGAATTATTTGAAATTTATGAATTGCTTATTTCTGGAATTTTCCACTTAATACTTTTTTGAATCACAGTTGACCATGAGTAACCAAAACCACAGAAATCAAAATTGCAGATATGGGTGGATGCTGTATCAGCTTGTAGGCAAGAGGATAATTTCCCTCATTATATAATGCAAGAAACTGATGCTTGGAGAAGTTGAGCAAATCACTCAAAGTCAGAGATAGGAAGTGACAGACTGGGGATGTAAGTTTTCCAATCCTGTGCTGTTCGTGTACCTCAAGCCGCCTCCCAGAGTCTGAAACTACCCCATTTAGAGAGGTCAGGGTCTGGATCTCTCTGCAGCATGGCACTCCATTTAAATTTTATTTTTGAATCTGCATATTTAAGCACCAGCTTGTTTCGGGGAGTCCAGAGGGTGGCCCTACTTAACCTTCTTCTGGAGATGTGTCTATTTGGTGGACCAGAGCAGAGGGACCAGAGCGAGAGGAGAAACCAGCAGAGAATTTTCCCATTTTCCCACTAGATGAGGCCAAGACGGGGGAGCTGGAGACAAATCCATGATTTTCCTGGCATTCTGCACTTCTGCCAAGTCTTGCTGTTTGCTGTCATTATTCCTCTGGGGTGCTTTCCAGTGCGGAAGTGTGTAGGCTGAGAGAGCGCCTGTGTGGAGGGCTGGAGGAAGGAGAGTGTTTCCACCGGAGTCCTCCCTGAGGGTCACAGTAACTGGCTCAGAGCAGAAGGTGCCCTCGGAGTGAAAGAACTATTTGTCAGCTCAAGAACCTCCTGGAGATTGTAGCTTCCGCTGCAACAGTCAGCTATAGTTTTGCAGTTGCATAATTCTGGGTTCAAATCCCACCTCCACTTCTAGTTGAGAAGTTTTGGGGAAGTCCCCCACCAAAGGATCAGTTTTTTCACGAATCAAATAGGAATGTATACTATTACCCTCTCTGAAGTGTTCTGAGGTTTTCATTAATGACGTGAAGCCAAGAGCAAACAGTGGCTATGTGAGCAGAGGGTTAGGCGCAGCCTGGAAATGAGATGTCAAGAAAGAGGGGTTGCTTGTTCTGCAAAGACAGTAACAAAGACCAGGAGTAGATTCAGCCTTGAAGCAGCTTGCAAGAACTTCTGTAAATAACCCATATACTGGCCCTGAGAAACTACTTTGAAAAGCATACAAGCCATAAAATAGAACCAGTATTGTTTTTCCTAGTTGAACGAAAATATTCATGCAGGATGCCTAAGCCAATCTACTGGGAATAAGACTCTAAATATTACTTGTGAGTCACCCTAGATTCCTTCCAAGACAGACTCCCCCATCCCTTCACCCAACACCCCCGTGTGTGACACATTAAGATTTTAGCATTTCAGCTTTTCCTACCAAACTTCTAGTCCCTCGACGTGGGCAGGAGGACAGCCCAGTGCGCAGAGAACACGTCTCTTCAATTCCTCTCCTTTAGAACCAGCTTAAAAATAAAAAAAATAAAAAATAAAAAATAAAAAAAATAGAGCACGACCCACGCAAGTTCCAAAATAGACGCTAGGTGGCGCTGGACCCCACGTTATTCAGGCCGGTCAACTACTGCGTCCTTGCCTAGGCGTTAGGGAGATTATCCTCCATCCCAGAGACTCGATGAGGGGGTAGGGGTAGAAGGGTTCACTTTAAACCAAAAGCTGAAAGCTACGCTATAAGGTTGCGTTGTGTCTAAGCAGCCCCTGGCTTTGCTCCTAACAGGGACCCCCATCAGGGTGTGCTTGGGGGAGGGGGAGGAGGTTCCAGATCTCAGGCCTGAGACCCCAAAGAACTTTTTGCTGAACTATAAATCATGGAAAGGACAAGCAACCCTTTTCAACTTGTGCTCTGCCCCGGGGCAGGAAGGAAAAGAACTTTGTTCCTTAGGAGGAACGTGATGGGGGAGAAGGGGCCTATCCTAGACCCTCTTGGGTGAGAACAACCAAGCCCAAGTCTTTCCTCCCCTTCCTCCTGGGTGGAGCTGTGGTGCACCCTGACCTCAATCCTTTGCATTCCATGTCCAGCGCTCTCTCAGGGTAAAACAGGATCCTCAGTGTCCCGGGGAGGTGAGTCGCCGGTTCAATCCCTTATTGCCTGGATTTGGGCGCCATTAAACACCTGCTTAATCTTATTGCCCTGAGGACACACCCTAACGCTACTACCCAAAGCTTTAGCGAATAATTATCGTTTATAAGGCGATTTCCAGTTTCCTCCTTATGATTTGCACTCTTCATACCTGAAGAGGCAGGGAGCTGCACTGTGTGTTGCAATAAAATGACTCCAGCACGCTCCAGGAAGCAGTCTCCTCGCTTACAGTCTCTTAATCCAGCAAATTGACAACTAAAATGCACTGGAACAGCCTCCCACCTCTGTTCCCTGCTTCCCGGCTTCCTTCCCCAGAAGCAGCTCCCAGGACCCTCTCCCTTCCTACCCCACTCCCTTCCACCCACCTTTTTCTTATTTCCAGATTAAAAAAAAAAAAAAAAAAAAAAACAATATTTATCTTTTTGTTCTTATTGTCCTCGGATTTGCAAAATGCAAGCTAGTGGGCCCAGCCTAGAGATCCTTTTTCGTCTGGCCTCTGAGACATCTCTGACCTCACCACCCTCCAAAGCCAGGCCCAACTGTTTGCAGCAACCTAAAGCTATGCTCTCATCTACCACAACTGTATTTTTAAACTTAATTTTTGGGCAGTTTACACACACACACACACATACACACACACACACACACAGAGGTTCTTTCCTCCTCTATGTTCACCAGTCTCATTTCCTACCAAAGATAACCATTGCTTACTAATTTCTTGTATTTCCTTCCAGATAATTTCATGCATATTAAATAAAACACAAATATGTCTTCCCCTTTTATCCACATGGGAGCATGCAGTTAACACTTTCTACATCTGCTATTTTTAAGCTTTAGAAACCTTTCCATAGTGATTCATAAAACAGCTTTTTGTTTTTTCTTTTCCAGCAGCGTGTTCAATTGTGTGGATGTATTCTTATCCAGAATATTTTTTTCTAGAAAGGGCCAGATAATAAATATTTTAGAATGTGTGGGATCATGGAGTCTGCAGAAATTACTTAAGAAAGAAGCCAGAGACAATGTATAAATAAAAGAGCTTAGGGTGTGTTCCAGTAAAATTTTATTTAACAGACATTGATAGAACTTTTTATAAAATTCATGAGCCGTGAAATATAATTCTCCTTTTGAGTTTTTCAACCACTGAAAAATGCTAAAATTGCTCCTAGCATGAAAGCAGGCAGAAAGCCAAGTGTCATCCCCTGAGGGTAGTGTGTTATCCCTAAATTTTAAGATTTCTCTACTAATAGTCACTTAAATTATTGCTAGTCTTTTGCTCCAGTGTGTAATCTGGTATACGTGTCACTTCATGTAGATGCAAATACATTCTTGAAGCAAGATTCAAGAAGAGGAATGGTTGGGTTGGAAGACAGACACATTTGTTATTTTGATAAACTTGTTAAATTGCCTTCCCAGGGGCTGCACTATGATATGTGCACCCAAAATGCATGAAAATGTTTTGCCCTCATAGACAACTGTGCATTTTAAAACTTAAGTGTTTACCAACCTGAGAGATGACAAAAACCCAGCACCTCAAAACTTTTAATTTACATTTTTATGAAGACGCAAAACATGATTTTATATATATAACAGCCCCTTGAATTTTTTTTTATAGTACATATGTGTTTGCAGTACATAATGACCAATTCATCATAGGGAATTTGTATTTGTGCATACCGCGGCTTAATTCTTTTTTTTTTTTTGGCTTCTTCCTCGCCCCTCCCTTCAAACTTTTTCCTTTCTTTTCTCCCCCTTCCCTCATCTCTTATTCACCTTCCTATTGGAAAAAGTTCTTTCTGCTCCCTAAGGCCTGTTCTCTATTTTGCTACTTTGGGTTTTTCATACAAGAGAAACAATGTGATGTTTAACCTAGTGCATCTGATTAATTTCACTTAAAATAAACACCCACTTGTATTCCTTTGTCTTTTTGCTTTGTTCCTTGAGCTGTTTTTTCATGCCCTTTACTCATGTTTTCACTTCCCTTTCTTCTAGAGATTATTTCGATATCTTAGAATTTACAATTTGTCCTTCATCTGTTGCATTAAGTGTGTTCTTTTTAGGGTTGCAATCCTTTTAATTTTACCTAAGCAGGTTTGCTTGCTTGCTTGAGATAGACAGTCTAAATAGCTTTCAAATTTTTTCATTAACTGAATTTATTGACTTGTTATGTTATTGTTTGTGGTCTTTGAATCATAATCAGAAAGAAGTTCACTACTCTAAGATTGAAAAAGAATTCTTTTTGTTTTCTCTCAGTAGTTTGTGTTTTTATTGCTACATATACATCTTTAATCCAGTTGGAATTTATTCTGATATGTGGAATTAAAAATGGCTCCAACTTAACATTTTCTAGATGAGGAATAACACCACCATCTATAGAGTAATCACTACGTTCACAAATACAGTACCATTTTTATCATGTACTAAACTCCTGTATATTTTTATACTTTTCCTAAAATATTCTATTGGTCTCTGCCTTTATTCATGTGCTGCTATGAAGCTTTTCATTTTTTTTAAAATTTTATTTAAGAAGAAAAAGAAAAAAAGCAGAGAAAGGGTACAAGTTATACAGATTTACAGAAAAAAATAAACAGTAGGAAATCACTAGTTAATGGATTACATTTTGTCATCTTAGAAATAATTGTTCAAGTTACAAAATTAAAGCTTATAAAGTGGACATTCCAACAGTGAGACTGCAAACAGTTCTGTTCAATGATCCAACAAAACTCAGTAATATTATTATCTATCTTATACACTTAAATATACATGCAGTTATATCATTTCGAGCACTTTCTTTTCCTCTCTTTTGTACAATGACAATTACACATTTTGGGTTTTGTTGCTCCCACAGTTCTTATTACTTTTTTGGAAGAGAGTAGAACCAAATGTGACATAACAGACAGAGTCAGTCAAATCAAAAGGGTGGACATAATAGATAATGTAAAAGCATAATACTAGGTGATCAACAATGGTTACCATAATGCCTCCCGCTATCTCTAATAGAATTGCCTATATCATTAGTTATAATAAAATTTGAACAAAACAGTAAAGAACAAAACCAACAAAACCAAAACATTGGAGATATTATAGGTCTTCAAAAGTAGAAAATAGTCAACCAGAATGGGCGTCATAATGAATCCCACTATCTTCACAGCTGTTGCCTAAACTTTCGAACCTGGTACTATCAAGCAAAACAGAATAGAGGAACATCAGTCAAAACAAGATGGTGAGAGCAATACAGGGCTTTAAATCAAGATAATGGAAAGACAAAGTGGGTTACTATAATATATCCTGCTATTTTTTAATTTATTTTTCCCTTAATTAAAAGGATAAAAAAGTAAATAATAAAATGGAGATTGAGATAGAAGAGGGCATAACAGCAAATCAGCGCAGATCAAAACATAACCATTTAAACAAAATAGTGTTTCACCACAAGATTATCCTGACATAAAAGTAGTTACCATATTGTCTCTTTCCTTGAAATCTTTGAGTATAACTTCGTATACTGAAGCATCAAATATATCAAAACAATGTAAAACCATTTAAGAGAATGACAGTATTATAGGGTATTTAGAATCAACTAACAGAAAATGAACAATGGTTTCTGTATAATCTCCTTGTCTATAAAAGATTTTGCTTATACTATCATATATAATAAAATCCAATAAGATACCACCTGTTTAGACCAATGGAGACAGAAGAACAAAAGCTTGATGAGACTTCAAAACAAGATGATACTAAATCAGTATTACCTCTTAAGACATCATTTTCTCCAAAATAGCTGTTCCTATCATCCAATCTTCTCTGCCTCATTTCTGTTGAGCTCTTTTTTGTCATTAGTTGTCAGTTTGTCTTCTTCATTTTGTTTTCTGCTCCATTCATTGTGGCCTCTCTGCCGCTACTTCTGGATTTTTCGTATTTTTCTTTTTTAGAATATCTTGCAGTATTCTCTGTAGAGTTGAGTTGGTGGTTGCATATTCCCTTAGTTCCTTTATCCGTATTATTGTACTTGTTGATGAAGCCTGGGCTTTCTCAACCCCAGAATACTGTCATCTTGGGTCAGATATAATTCCTTGTTGAGGGGGCTATCTGGTCCCTGGTAGGGTGTTTAGCCAGAATCATCGCAGTTGGTCTAGTCATTTATCAGGGATCTTCTTTTTCACAGTTTCTTGTTTATTTTAGTTTATTCCACCAGTTGATGTTTGCAGTTCCCTCCTCTTACTCACTTTCCAATGGGAGATCAGCTCAGGCACTGTGCCCATCTTTCCCGCACTGCCCCTCCCAGCTGCTGACCCCGTGCTGCTCTTTGGAGCCCATTGCTTGTGGCCCACCCTTGCCCCTCATTGAAGTCTGAGTCTCCAGCCTCTGGGCTATGAACCCCATTAGTTGTCAGA